TGAATCTACAAATACACATAAAAATTCCTAGCTGGAAAATATCTTTTACTTAAAAAATGTAATGTACATTATATTTATCACAAATATAAAACTTTACATCTGCATTTAAATGAAGATGAATAAGCAATTTCTGAAATTTTAAGACCCCCCCCCCCATTATTCTCTGCAATGCAGGACATTCGAGCTTGAAAAAAAAACATCGGTTACGTCTGCATAATATAAATAATTGATATATTGAACTCCTTAAGTAATGTCCTTCATTCCTGTATACAGATTAAATATTGATTAATAAAATTTTTTGTTATTCTAAATATTATTTTTTTTATATTTACATGTATTTAGTAAAACTATTTTTTTTCTAAGGCTTTTTTGACCACGTGTCAGGTTTGGAGTTCATGCACACAGGTGCAATTTCAAACCTTTATATGACTTCTACTTGCATTGAATATTATTTTTTAAGTTAACCAACAGTGGTGTATGTACAACTGTCTTGTGATGAAAATGGAATATATGTACGTACAGTTTTTTAATTATTTTTGTTTTCAAACGAGAGGGGTGGTGCCCCCCCCCCTCCCGGATATTGTATCATTCTTTTGTTTCAATAAATGGAAACGATGTATTCGTTCATATTAACTTCAATTGTACCAAATTGTAAATTATTTATTAATATTAAAATTAATCATGTGCCTGAATCATCTACAATGGTATCATCTACATTGGTATCAATCGTTTTGTTTTTATTCGAGGAAATGCGAACTGAAACTGTTTAGGCCTACAGTAAAGGATTTTCTCAGTGGGGTGCAACCGTTGTATTAATTTCAATAAATAATTTTTCACTGTTGATACTTACTTTAATTTGTATAAACTTTCGCTTTCAGTTCTTGTGTTCCCTGCAACACACTGTAAATGTAATGTGAGGGGAAAAAACCCATAATTCTTCGGAAAACAGGAGGAATAACTCAGCTAAGAGGAGGAAAGGCATACACCTCTACATTTTTAGAGTTGTTTCTCTTTGATCAATGACCTTCTGAAAACGGTTACTCTTTTTCATTTTTTTTTTCAAAGAAAAGAAAAGCAAGAAATTGTTTATTTTCGTAATATGATAATATTTAGACATGCCGGTAATATTTATTCTCAATTTTATGCGGCCGATTGTGACGGGAAAAAGCAATGTAGAGTAGCATTAACATTTTTTATTAAAACATTGCCTTTGTGTATATCATAAATACAATATTAAAGAATTAATTAACTAGATTTAAATTTAAGAATTTTAAGGAACCTGTCTTTTTTTTTTCATTTTTATGGAGGGGGAAGATTTATTGCAATTGCGCAAATGATCAAGGATAGGATTTAGTATTCCTAAAGAAACCGCAATAAAAACCTCTATTTTTTTTTTTTTTTTTTTTACAATAATTACATCGGGATCGTATCGCTCGTCATTTTGACGCTTCGTAATTAACGTCAAATTTAACGTTATGTTAAACTTTTTATTGAAATCCCAAGAGTTATCTCCCCCAGTGTGTTGTACGTCTTTAAATAAAAAAATATAACCTCTAAATCATAAGATTTTAAATTTATAGGTGAAAACCATACCTCTGGATTACTAGACTTTTTGTAGGTATAGGAACTCTCCCAGTGAGCGTTTTACAGTCAGGACATCGGAAGAATCCGTATAGTCTCTGTGACGACATTTTGATTTTTGTCCGTCTGGATTGTATAAATTCTTGCTGTAACTCGAATATATAACGAAACCAGATCGTATATTTATAAAATGACAGTTAAAAAGGCATCCTTTTAAATGACTGATAACATATGCTCATGTCATACATAGTATATTAAGATATTTTATCAGGACCTTGATAATATATGTACATGTATATCATTTTTTAAAAAAATCACCCGGAAAAAAATATTCTCAGAAAAGTATACTTTCTGTTTGTAGTTGATAACCATTTACGGTAAACAATTTCTGAATAGAAAGTAGGGGTTTACAGATGGTAGGCAAGTGTGTGTGTGTGCCAGTAAATCTTGTCATAAAAAAGAAGTAAGATTTGTCTGCCAAGGCAATATAATTACATGTATTTAACAATAAAGCTGGACCTTTGTTGAAATGCTGTTAATTTCTAGTTTTTAAACAAATGGATATATCCTAGCTAGGTTTTCATATGTTACCAAACACCAAACAAATAGGTCATTGAAATTTACTTGCTTGATTTCGGTCGTAAACTTTTGAACATTTTCAGCTTCTCTTCTGGAACCAGCAAACCAATTTCAACCAATTTTGGCATATAGCATCTATGGGTGAAGGGGAACAAAAATTGTGAAATTCGTGGCCCCTGCCCCCCTGGGGCCTGAGGGGTGGGGCCAAAACCATCAAAATTAATGCAATCTTTAAAAATCTTTTTCTATACTCCTGGACATCAAGCAGTCAAACTGTTGGCATGATTGTAATAAGCATTGAGCCCTCTACCAAAATTGTGAAATTCATAGCCCCAGGGTCAGGGGTTCTGGTGCTAGGGCGTGGCTATATAGATCATATAGTGAAAGTGCATTATTTCTTTGAAAATCTTCTTCTCTACTCCTGGGTATTATTCAAACAAATTAAATACATAGTTATGATAAGAAAGAGTGACTCTACCGAAATTGTGAAATTCATGGCCCCAGGGTCAGGGGTTCTGGTGCTAGGGCAGGGCTATATAGATCATATAATGAAACTGCATTATTTCTTTGAAAATCTTCTTCTCTACTCCTAGGTATTCTTTAAACAAATTAAATACATAGTTATGATAAGCAATGGTGACTCTACCGAAATTGTGAAATTCATAGCCCCAGGGTCAGGGGTTCTGGTGCTAGGACGGGGCTATATAGATCATATGGTGAAAGTGCATTATTTCTTTGAAAATCTTCTTCTCTACTCCTGGGTATTGTTTAAACAAATACATGGTTATGATAAGCAAGGATGCCTCTTCCAAAATTGTGAATTTCATGACCCCTGGATCAGAGGTTCTGATATTAGGGCGGGGCTCTATTTATTATATAGTGAAAATGCATTAATGCTTTAAAAATCTTCTCTGCACCTGGGCATATCAGAGGCAAAAAGAGTAAAAGTTTTAATAAGGAAGGGTATTTTTACCAGATTTTTGAACATCAGAACCATTTGATCAAGTGTTCTGGTCCAGGCCAGGGCTCTATTAATTTGTATTCTACTGAGAGGAGTTATTCCCCTTTGCCACTTACTTGTGATAATTAATCACTGTAAATAATGTACTTGAAAGGTTAATAGAATAAGAGAATTATGCAAGAATTTTTATTGTATAATACAAAAAGTACTTTCATAGTTTTAATGATCAGGTAGACTTGTAAGTAACAGATAAATAAAAATGAGACAAAAATAACTTGTCTTATTAAATGTTCATCAAAGACCAAGAGAGGCCAATGCAAGAGATTTCAACAAGGAATTAAAAGAGTACAGAAGCACTGATTATAAGTTTGTTTATATACTGTATATTGAGAGTGATAAATGGGGAACAGATTAGAACCAAATTTATGTACTGTTAATGAACACACTAATTATTTTGTTGATCCTGATCATCCTATTTTTCTTGCTTTTGGGGAACAAAGCTTCACCTTTCGGTTCATTTTATACTCTATGGATCCTCTAAATTGTTGTATTATACTCAGGTGACCGTTAAGGCCCTTGGGCCTCTTGTTTTTCCTTGTTTCTTTTCCGTGCTGACTTGAAGGAGTTTGAATATTGAGACACCATGAAACAAAGGGAGAGGGGAGGGGTATGTCCATATTATCCCTGTCGTATGGTGGACTATGGTCACGAAATACGACCACAAAAAAGTTTGTTCTGTACTTAAGGAATGACTCTATCGGGTGTACTCTGGTGTAGTACACCAGAGTACACCCGATAGACCGGACGCAATTCATAGCGCTCCGGAATTCTTTGTTCACAACTCAAATTAAACATGTAATATTCTAAATATTTAGTGTTTGGTAGTTTAGTAGTAGTGCTAGTTGTTTTTGTTTCTCTATTTCCTTTGCTTTTATGACTACTTAACTTTTTTCTTTGTCCTGAGGAAGGGACAGGTTTTCCCGAAAATATGACAATTATTATTGTTCGTGTCGTTGGTCATTTTTAGTGCTTTATATATATATATATATATATACATTGTATGTATGTATATATATATATATATATATATATATATATATATATATATATATATATATATATATATATACACACACCCGCTATATAATATTTTATTATATGATTGAATAATTCCCATCTCTCTGATTGGCTGAGATCCAACAATGTTAGAAAAATACTACATTATTTTGACCTGCACGTGACCTTCCAGGTCAATATAAGGAATTATTTCCAGTTCAATATAAGGAATTCTTTATTCAACATTGGACCAAAAATAGATAATCATATAATAAAACAGTTATTGCTGTTTTTGAGGTCAATACAATGATTTAGACACCTTCGAAGTACAATATTCACCTCGCCCTTCGGGCTCGGTGAATATTGTACTCCTCAGGTGTCTAAATCATCGTATTGACCTCAAAAAACAGCAATAATTATATAATAATTAACACCTATAAGGAGGCATTCATTGGTTTTTTCAGTTATATATATAGTTCGGTTGATTGCTTTAAAATGTTCTTGCTCTTTGATTCTAATGAAAGAATTAAAAATGATTTTTTTTTTCATATTTCATGGTTATCTCTCTACGAAATTGGGAAAAGCCTTTCTTTCAACAAAATTGAATACCCTTTACTTCGTGCAGATTTGTTTCAAGTTGACCGTAGAAGCCAAAACTTGCAAAAGTTAAAAGACAACATACGACCAGTGACATGCGACAAGTCGATGCTTAAAAATTTTCGAGAAGAATAAACCAAGTTTGTGCCTCAAGTGAGCTAAGAAAACAAAACAAAACAAACAAACAATGTTAAAAATGTATTCAATGTTTGATAAATAAGGTATATTTACAGTCAAATGAAACGACTTGGTAACATTTCACTTTAAGTGAAATTCCTTTTAGCACAGAGATACAACAGTTATACTATTGCAGCATTTGATCCCCCCTAACACAAACACAAAGAAAAAGAAAACAAAACAAAAAACAAACAAACAAACAACACGCATGCAGTGTTTTCAAAATCATTGCACAAATCACAAAAAGTTGATGGACACCAAACAAACAAAAACAATGAACGAAAATTGAGCATAAGTGGCACTGTCTGAAATATCACTATAATAATAATCGTCATTATAAAGCTCCCCAGTGTCGGCTGATGGTGATGGGGTAGGATGATACTGAACATCCGGGTCTTTTGCATATAAGGTGATGGTCTTTCCACTAAATGGATCGATTTTCTTGGTTGGATCCAATGGTTCGTCGTCGTCCTCTGTAAAAATACAACGATCATCGGGTGATTAAAGTACTGACACCACCATTTTACTTTGTATGAAAACCCCCCAAAAAGTGACGTACCCCCCCCCCCAACACTTTTGTTCGTTTATATCCATAAAGATAAAACAAACGAACACTTACTTACTCTCAATTTAAAAAAAATACTTTGTACATAAATGTATTTATGTTCCTGTTGAACGTAAAAATAATTTTGACCCAACCCCCACCTCCGCCCTAAAATCGACTGATTTAGATGAAATTCAGATTGGCGATGTCAACAACCTTTGCTATTTATGGTATCAACACAGTGTTAGCATGGGAAGAACGACGTTTTAAGGGATGTAAATTGCAGTATCAATAGAATTTTTTGGTTCATCATCCTTCTGCTGACTCATAAGAAAAACTGCTTCAATGATAATATTTGAAAATTAAATCTAAATGACACACATGTTTTTAAAATGCGGAGAATTTCAGAGCACCTATCTGTGCAAAATTTTATAGAAATATGAACTAGTATTATTTCTAAATTTAAAGGGAGCGGCATATCTATAGATTAAAAAAAAAAATAATAATAAATAAAAAAAAGCGTAATCTGCTCCAACCCAGTTATATACCGTATAAATTTGGTACGCCAAGCGGATTGCTACTTTTCAGACGCAAGTCAACACAATTTCAATCATAGGGTGCGTCACAACCAAAATCATTTAACCCAGTTAGAGTTATCTCTCTTATCAAAAGGTCGATGTACTTTAAAACATGTTTAATGCAACACAAGGTGTGGTTTTCATAAAATATTTGTAATATGGAACTTAATGGGCATTTTCTCAAAGAAATATTTTTAATCCCGCAACTTTATTTTTCTCAACCGAAGTCCCAATGTCAAAAATAAATTATTTCTCAAACCGTATATAAATAAATTTATTAATTAAAATATTCTAGAAGAAACGAGATGTTTTTTTTAATTGAAACTTTCAAGCAAGGGAAAAAATATGGCTTTTTGGAAGAAAAACAAAATTATCTTACCGCAACCAAAATAATATTTCGGGATGCAAACAACCCTTCCGTTGAAACACCGACACTTATTGCAATCGGAGCGGATCCAATATCCATGGGGGACGTTTTTACAATTCTTATACTTAATTTCATACTGGCAGTACCTTCCAATATAAAACCTGAAAGTAAAATTTAAATTAAGAAAATAAATCAAACACACAAAAACATCCAGAATAAAAGTATTTACATATAGCATATTATTTTGATTTTTTTAAAGATCAAAACAGAATTTATTTTAAAAAATGAACAGAATAATTGAATTTAAAAGCAAAATAAGCCTCTCTATATTTCATATTACCACATATACAAAATGACTAGGTTATAAAATCGAAAAAAAGAGCTATGATTTGACTTACTTTGGACATCTGCAAAAACTGCCGAGGACACAAATACCACCATTTTTACAACAAGAATTTACAGCATCTGTCAAAAATAAAACATATGCACAAAATAAATCAGAATCTAATCATGTAACAGAAACAATTGAGAGTAAATGTTTTAAATATATATAAATAATTGTAGATTTTTTTTAAATTTCAATAAACAAGAAAGATTATGTATTAAAAATGTCAAATTTATAATTTGTATATATGTTAGTAAAATTGAGAAAATGAAAATTCTCAATATGACAAATAATTATAATTCTCTTTGGCTTTTACAGTTTAGTTACACATAGTTTATAACCGCCTATTTCTACATTTGCCAAACAATCACAGAACTTTTCAGGTCTATGTACAAATATTGCGATCATAAGAAAACGTATGGTCCCGAATTTAGTGGTTGATTGCACATGCTATACTTGTATTTTAAGCATTATTATTAGTAATTTAAGGTATGAAATAAAATAAGGAGAAAACGAACAGTAATCAAGCTCAAAAGTCCATTGAAACAATACAAATCAGAAGCAGAGCAAACACGGGCCTCTAAAAACATCAGAGGTGGGATCAGGTGCCATGGAGGAGTAAGCATTCTCTGGCGACCGGTCACACCCGCCGTGTGCTTATTGTCATGATAGGGCAAACGGAAAAATCCTTAGAAAATTCAGTGTTTAAATAATGGCCTAACAATAAGTATGAAAAAAAAAAATCAGTCAGCATGTGAAATAATAATAGATTTTATTTGCTGACAAGATCATTGTATCGACTGCGAAATGATGACTTCAAACGAGACTGTTGATATCCTTGTTTCAATAACTTGTTTGTCAATAGCCTGTCTTGATTTAGAAATTGTTCGTACGTGGAGCTTGATCTTAATTACGTATCGAATCAACTGGGAGATATAAACTCAATATGCAGGTGATGAGGGTATATTGCTACATAAGTAAGGGAAGCTGATAATAGAAAAGTTGAAGTAATCACGTTTATCATGAAGTTTTGTTGTTAGGTTACCATTCACGTCTTTTTCTAGTAAAATGTCCAAATATGAAACGGGTGTGTCACACTCTGTGGTATCTGTTATTTCGAGTTGACTGGGATATATCGAATCGACATATCAATGGAAGAAACTATTGTTAATAGATAATGCATCGTGGATATATCTAAATGTCGAGTTGAAAGCCACAGCAAGTGTCTTCTTCTCATGTATAAGTTTTTGAATAAATTCTGTTTCATATGAATACAAAAATAGGTCTGCTAATAACAAGACGAAATTGTGCTAATTTTTTTTTTAAACAAATATCGTTCTGTGATTCAACAAGAAAAAAGGAAAATATTTTAGCGATTTGTGTGGAAATTCTGATGAAAAGTACGATCGTATTGTCAAAAATATAAAAATATAATTTCCCTAAGAGTTAGTGATTGTATTGCTATTTAAACAAGTTTCCTAAAAAAAAAAAATTGAGATACCTTAAAATTACCTGGCATTTGTAAGATATCAAATGATGGTGGTTTCTATATAACTGGAAATCTCTTGAATTGACAATATCACAATCTTTAAATAGTGTAATCAGTAAATTATTTATTTTAAAATACAATTTGAACAGTTTAAAAATCACCAGATACATGTAAGGATAATTGTGAATATTTTTCTATTTTTTATGAAGAGATACCAAAAAAGATATTCGAGGAACCTGCCGAAATAAATTGAGTTCCTAAAAAATTGTATATTTGATATGAACGAATTTATGTAAATTTTGATACTAGAGACATACTACTGTGTAAAATTTTATAATACTTTATAATTTTCTTAACTGAATACTTCAAAGTAAAAAAACAAACAAACCATATTTTAGTTTTAGTATTTCAGTTCTCATTTGTTCAACTATATATATGGGGATTTTTTTCGTTAGGTTTAAGTTCTGTTAGAAATAGAATTTTCTTTTTCAAGAGATTTATGAACTATAGTATATCATATGCTTTACGAAAGTGTGTTCTGTGAAAAAAAAAAATACGAAGAAATGTGTCAAAATACTAGATAAGTACTATGTTTCTGAACTTTCTACTATATTGTTTTATGAATCACGGTGACGAAGAAGTCAGTGAATGTATAAAGGAGATAAGAAGACAGACAGACACGCGAATTGCCTAATTTGTGAAAAATGTTATCATTTCTTTAAGGTTATCATTTTACCGATGATAGGGACTATTTGTTTGTCGATTTTTATCGCTCCCTCCGCGCCGGACTGGAAAGAAATTTCACCACTACTGACCAAAATCATTTCCTGCCACCCTGCAAACTTGCCATCGCATTATTCTACCTTATTGTAAAAGTTTGATAAACTATCGCTTCAAATAAATGGTAGCAGAGATTATTATAGAAACCAAAACATCCCAAAAGTGTTATTACAGGATAATGCGGGATTTGTGTAAAGGGTAAGAATCACTGATTAAAGCCCTTAATGGTCTTCAAAGGATCAAATAGACAAAGAAATTTAATTGTCTGAATTATACAGGTCTTTAGGTGAGTTGTTAGCAAATCCACGAGTAAGCTAAACATGCTTACTGAAGATAAAAGGTTTAACGAGAACTGTGAAAAACATTTTATGGTGATAATCGCAGTTAATTGCTTAAGTCAGTTTTGATAACTATGTCCCCTGTTGGGATAAGAAAATAAATAAAAATACTTTATAATTGGATATTCTATTGAGAGAGAGAGAGAGAGAGAAAGAGAGAGAATTTTACTTACTTTGACTAACAACACTGTATATGCTGCATAAGGTATAAAACCTGAAAAGTAATTTTGTAAGCAAAGCATTATTCATAGATAAAGCAATATTAATATCAACTAATGTGTAAAAAGCAAACAGGGGTGCAAATGACTGCAAATGTGTACATTGATGTGTTGGATGACTAAAACTAAATATTATGTGTATTTTTAAATGTATATTTTCTTTTGACTCGATGAACAAACATACCAAAGTGACACAAATGATTATGTATTGGTATACTAGGATTTCAGGCTTGTTTTCAAGCGTCGAGATTTCCACATTAATGTATCAAAATCCATGAAATAATAAGTAAGAGAATGACTCTAAAAAGACGTTGTATTCTTTATAGTTATTTGCCCCCCCCCCCCCCCCTCCCTCTCAATCAAATAATGCAGCCTTTTTTTTTTAATTAGTGATTTTAATGATTATAACCTTAGATATATAATTTTTGATGTCTCCTCTTCAAATAATGTAACATATTTTTATTTATTAGTGATTTATTAATAACAATAACATTATTAAAAACAAAGCTATTCAGTTGTGCCTCTGACATTATTAACTTATATTTTTAAATGTAGTTCTCTTGTATTAAATATTGACATTTATTTTCATTCAATAAATAGGGTAACTAATACATAATCATTTAAAAAATATATACTTAGAAGAAAATCACTTACAAAACAAGATATGAAGTTTCCATTCTGTCAGACGCGCGTTGTAAGACTGTAACACACCGGGTGCTCAGCTGTTTGTTTTGTTACAAGCCCCTCCTTCTTTAAACAGGTAATCACAATGTGTTGGCACTTGTGATGTACTCCTAATTACAAGAACTTTTTAAATAATCTCTAATTAGCCATCCTCTATTTTCTTGACATTTACGAGGAAGATAAACTGTCTTTAAAATTGAAAAGCGCTTATGACACACCAATTTAACCTTTGTTATTTAGCTGTATTCATATAAGGTAATAAAAGTGTGAGGACATTCTCTGGCGGTGTACCAGTGAAAACGGTTACAGCGGCAACTAAGCACGCATTTCTTTGATTATTTCAATTAAAGCAAGAGATGAAATGATTTGATTGGTAAAATAATTTAGATCGTAACGTGACAGATGTAACCTGCATCTTCACACATATACCTGATCTACTATGCAAGACTTATAACAGAAATTTTCCGAGACTGACCCCCTATAAAAAACTTTGTGAATCAAAATGTTATCCCCATATGGTATGCTTCACTTCCTTGCTCGTTTTCTTTTGAATTTTTATTTCCATCTTCACTTAGAAAATAGTTACGGTCCTCATTAAAAGTTAATTACCAAGTCATCTTAATGATAAGAGGTTATTCTTAGTTGTGTTTTGCTTCAACTCAGTGCGCTACATGTATAGTGTTGTATGAAAAGGAAATCCATTATTAGCACCACCTGTCCAAATTTGTACATATTTAATAAGAGTATAAAAAAGTAGCACAACCTACAGTAAAAATCTAAATTGTAATCTTGTAACTTCAGGAATAGGCAATGTACATGATGATGGTAAAATACAAATTAGGATGGAAATAAACATTGAAAATTATTTTTGTTTTTTAATATTCATATAAGTCGTTTGTGCCATCTTTAAAAAAAAAATGTTTGGTTGTCCTCTCCCGACCGACTGGCTAAAAATGACCCGACTGAAAACTTTTTTTAACCTCCAGGAAACATTTAATTTCTTTATGCATTCCAGATAATGATTTTTTTTATGCATTACAGATAATGAATTAAAAATGCAGCATGGATGTTGAAAATTTCTGGGAAATAAAATTTCGCACCTATTTACCGAACCAATTTTTTCATCCTGAGTCGGGAGAGGGGAAACAAACATTATTTTGAAGTTGGCCTTAGACCTAAATCGAAAAGTGATCGGGTTCGTTGTTCAGTTTTAAATCTATGGCGGCGGTTCAAAACAAGTATCAACAAGACAAATCATCATGTAAAGCTTCTCAATGCCAGTGGCTTTATCAGGATAAACACGTAAGAATTTTTGCATAATCTTATTGTTTTGGACTTGACTGAATGATTACAATAGCTCTTCATACAGCTGCCACTGCAGAATCAGGGTCCTTTTAGTGATTAACTCAAACATACATTCTGCTCCAATCAATGAATAAAAGACACAACAATATTGATAAGATACTGAATTAAAATAACTGAATCAACTATTTTGAATAATTTATCAAAGCCATATAGCTTCATGAAGAGATCTTGCAGTTCTTGTATGAATCATATTTTTGACAGTCACTTGGATCAAAATCTTGCAGGTCTGGTACAATCACTAGATTTAGCTTGATTCACCTACATAGCTTTATTTTACCCGAAGTAGCTACTAAATCAAACTTATTTCTTAAATTAGCATTTTTCTCAGAAAATGCAGAAAATTGCACTTTGATGCAATGATAATTTTCAACTTTGAACTCATCTGAAAACAATTCATGAAAAAAATCACTCTAACTTGGAGATGTGTCTTTTTCTGCCTAATTGCAATCAAAGTTCTAAAAGTTTTGGGACCATATACAACAGTTAATTTGTGACCTAACAGTTACTTCTTGAGTGAAATAACAAAAAAAACCCCAGTTTTGGTTAACATGAGCACAATGTGAAGTAATCATACTTATCGACAGCTCATCGCACACAAGGTGGTGTACAGTTACTCAAACAATGGATATACATCTTTTCCTTAAAAGTGTTCAAACGCAGCAATGTTAAAACTATCTCTGCTTTGGTTTGCTTTTTAAATAGTAACTAGAATAAATATTAGTAGACATTTACATGCGATTTTTTTGTCTTTTTAAAATAAAAAGCAAAATTGTGAAAAGTTGTCTTGAAATAGCTAAAAAAAAAAGCTAACCGAGGTAGATAAATAAGGCTACGGTAGGTAATTTTAGCTACATAGCTATATGTACTGATTGTACTGGATCTGTCTTGGTTTATTAACAATAACGTATGCTAACTATATAAAATATGCAAAGAAAAAAAAAAAAAAAGCAATGCTGTCCTGATAAGGAAATCTGCTCAACTCGCTTGTTTACAATACCTACCTGTTCTTTGAAAATACAGCTGCATCTGCCACATTCCAATCCATGCATGAGGCATACATGTATCTCAAAAATCCCCAACCCTCGCAGAGAAATGCTACTTAACAATTTTTAAACAATTTTTGTTTTTCAAAATTTGCTTCAACATATGCAGAAAAAACAGTAAAATGGAAAATCTGAACAAAATTTGACAAATCTGGGCATTCAGTAAGTAGTAATTTCTGAGAAAATTTTAAAAAACTACCATTAAAATATATACTACATGTATATATTTTATGTAGTATAATAAGGAAGGGGAAAGGATAGCTAAAATTTGATGGATTGAAAATGACATGCAACAATGACAGTACCACAAGTTAACTTATGTACCAATTCAGTAAACTTCAAAATACTCTACTTAAACAGATCATGAAAATTCTGTGATGAAGTTCCAGAGTTTTTTGATCCAACAATGAAATTCTGATGGCACTTCTTTGGTTCATAATTTGTAGTATTGTTGCCAATTCAAATACTGCCTGTCATTTTCAGCAGTGAGGTAGACACTGATAAGGACATGGAACAGCTGCTGAAAGAGAATGATGGCTTTGGAAAAATGTAATCAAAGAGTATGAAGATGTTTACCGTATTGAAAGATAGTAAATAAGTGTCTTGTAGTTTTTTTTAATTTGTATTTTCTATTTAGACTGGCTTATTTTCCTTCTCATCGATCCAAATGACTGACTATCTTAAAAAGTTTTCCACAGTTCTGCATAATATTAATAGTTATTTAATTAATTTAAAGAATGATCAGATCACCAACACTTCGTGAAAAAGCAAACATGGATTTATTTTGTTGCCTGTTTAGACCAGAGATGGTCACCATCAGTCCATCTCTGGTCAAAATCAGTCAACTAAATAAATCTACTTTACCATTCTCATGAAGTGTTGATCTGTTTATGTTTTTATAAATTTAGATCCACATCCTATTGAATACCGTGTGGTATCCACGAATCCTCCACTTTTTTAACCATAAGGTCGTGGTTTCCAGTTTAGCTCTGTTTTTAGAATAATAAATTATGAAAAAAATGACTTAAATGAATTACTTTCAGGCAAAAAATGAAGATAGACAGTCACATTCTGATGCACAGGTGGATGTTTTAAACAAAAATGAAGTTAAAAACTGAGGTGCTAGCATCATCTAGCATTAAAAGGAAAAAGCCCTGGCCAAAGATTATATGGATTGGTGAGGTAAGACTCAGTTATACTAAAACACGAAGTAAGCAGAGCTCCAGATAATTTTTTACCTCAAAGTGTATTTACTCCCTGATTTTGAAATCAATGCAGATTTTGCTTTTCAGCAAAATAATCAAAGAGTATTATGTTAACCAATTGCTCTTTTGACATCTAATGTTGGACAGTGATCATAAATGGCGGCGGGAATGTTCGAGTAACCGCCGTATTATGTTTTCAACAAGATTTTTAGCTTGTTATCGATATAAGTGTTTTTGAAAGAGGAATGTAAAAGAAATGTTAGCTTCTGCATTTATCAATTAGGTTAATGAAATTTTAAAAATTTTGTCAGCTTTTAGTTATAACTGAGAAACATTTCGTTTTTTTTTTCACGAGAAAGACCATACGATAGGCAAAGTTACCACGGGCACGCTGAACTCTATTTAAGACTAGGCCTATATCGATCGTAGCAAGAGTTACCGAGACCTTTGGCCAAATAAAATTAATCTTTAGATTCTAATCCCCACCTGCCCCTCTCAAAATATCCAGCCCCGTTGTTTTCCGTGTTGTTTGTTTGTCTTTTTAATCAGAAATATATACTAGGTTTTGCTATATAAATTGTTGGCATCGATAGAGGTAAAAGTTTTAGAGTTACTCCCCGTTTGCATTAAAAGTCGCGTGGTGCTATTCATAGCACAAGAGCATGTGAAACGCAAAAAAGCAATATTTTCATACAATTAATAAAAGTTGTCGACGGACTATAGATGATATTGTTGCTACAGAAAATGGTTAATATACAAGAACTGTTTAATAAACAGTGATAAAGAATAAATTACACACAACGCGTGTTCAATTTTGCCCAATTTTGACAATATCACCTGTACGTGTCAAAAACGAAAATTTGGATGTTATATGAACAGTGGGAATCTGTGATATTTTCAGACAAAGTACGGGTATTTAATATTCAAATCTTTCTCTCGAACTGGAAATCGGTCTAGGTTATTCCAAATACGCTTAATCAAAATTTCCTTTTGATAAAAATTCAAACACTGAGCTGACTTCAATTCACATAATGAGTTAAAATCCAATCCATTGTACGCAGTACTTTCATAGTGTAATGCTTATTTATGATTGCTAATGCGTAAATGTACGCCCTGTTTTAAATTTTAATGCGTATTTTGAAAAATTCAATGCATATTTCTGCAAATACGCACCTTATCTGGAGCTCCGAGTAAGCAAGAGTTCAGTAATTCTATGATCTGGGGAAATATAAATGTAGTTGTTAAGATAGTGACCAAAATTGATAAAGTCAATATAAATTATGGGAATGCAATCAGTATTGAAGATGTGAACATATGAATCAAGCATTTAGATAACATTAACACAAGGAATCCTCAAGAGTTTTACTTACATTTAATTAACTGTTTAATTTAGCATTATTGGACCAGAAGAAAGGTTCTGAAAAAAGCAGCA